TCCCTCGGTCCTCTGGTGTTGGAACTTCGCACAACATTTACACATTTTCTCTTGCCCTTGCCCCTTACCTGATCTTGCACTCACTGTGGGCCTCTTCCCATGACCAACAGACATTTCCACTCTGAAGATGTTTTCTTCTCCTGTGTAACAAATCTCAGCTTCTGGCAAGGTTGAAAATCTGCTTCACAAACACACTTGCGGAGTGCCTGCTGCACACTTTCACCACCAGGTGAGCAGGAAATGATGGCCCTCACAAGTCAGCAACAAATGGAGACATCAGATCACCCAGAATCTCAGCATGTAGCCTTAAAGTAATTCCCTCATCCATGGTTTGGCTTTCCATGGCTTCTGACATGTAGAGGAAGTATATCTATTGGGGGAAACTTCTTTATTTTTGCTTTTTTTTTATTCTGTATATGTGTGGTGTATGCATGTGCATGTGTGTGGGTTTGTGTCTTTGTGCATGTGTGTACATGTGTGTGTGTGTGTGTGTGCATGTGTGTAAATGTGCAGGTATGTATGTGTGTGCATGTGTGTGGGTATGTGTGTGTGTGAGTGTACAGGTATGATGCCCATGTGGAGGCCAGGCTATGAGGTATCTTCCTTTATTGTTTTCAACTTACTGTCTTGAGTCAGGGTTTTTCTTTTCTTTTTTTAAAATGATTTGTTTTTATTTTATGTGCATTGGCATTTTACCCGCTTGTATGTCTGTGTGAGGGTGTTAGATCCCTTGGAATTGGAGTTACAGACAGTTGTGGTTGCTGGGAATTGAACTTGGGTCCTCTGAAAGAGCAATCAGTGCTCTTAACTGCTGAGCCATCTGTCTAGCCCCTGAGTGAGGCTTTTTCACTGAACCTGAAGCTCATTTTTGGCTCCGCTGGGCAGTGAGACTTCAGGGTCTTCCTGTCTCTTCCCTGAAGTGGAATTATAGGCACACACAGCCATACATATCCTTTTCAGATTAGGGCTGGGGACTTGAACCCAGATCCTCATATGTGGAGGGCAAGTGTTTTCCCATCTCCGCAGCCCTGATTCAGCTTTTAAAGGCAACTTGCAATTTGGCCTTTACCCCAGAATTTTATCATGACTTTTCCCCTTCTCAATCGAGAAACCATGTGATAAAGTTTGGGAGTGTTTCCTTGTCAGGGAAGGAGGGAGGGAGGGGGAGTGGAGAGAGGAGAGGGAGGAGGGGGGAGAGAGATGTCAAGGAAGCCTTTGCTTTGACAGCTTTATTGGAGCATGGTAACACAACACAGAGCATGGATTTGAAGTCCCACCACAGCTGTTCCTCTCCTAGGCATCGTGCACCCACTTCTGCTTCCCTGAGAGGCTCCAGAAAGTTCACATTTGCAGGACTCCTGTGAAGGGGCAGGCTGTCCCTGGGCACTGTGGTCTTGAGCCCTGATTGATTGTCTCTGTGATTGGGCGTGTCCATTTGCACCAGAGGTCTCATGTCTCCAGTTAGTTAGGCCCTAGAGTCCTGAGAAGACACCTAGATGGGTTTCTTGGGCTTTCGGAGGGAATTTGACAAAGAGACTCAATGGTCGTCTCTGGGAGTCATCAGGCCAAAGGATGCCTTGAAGTTTATTGGCAGACTAGCTCTTAAAACATTAGTGTGGGCCATTCTTTACACATTCACCTGACAAGCTTTAAATAAGCTTCTATTAGGTGTGAACACTCTTCCAAGGGTCCAACAGGCAAAGGCCAACAGAAGGAACATATATGTAGGGAAGTAATATGGGTATCCAAGAAACCAGAGCCAACTGTTACAGCATAATCAGCCAATAGCATCTAAAGAAAGTCCCACACTGTGTGGCAAAGGCCTGATGTTGGATAGGTCAGAAGGGACAAGGAAGAGGACCTTAAGGAAATGGTATTTTAGTTGAGATCTCAAGATGTCAACTTGTCCAGAAGACAAAACCGCATTTCAGGCCATGCAAATAGCACTGTGTGCCTTGCTTGCTAGAAATAGTAGATGTAATTAAAATGCTAAGGCAGATGGGGGTGGAGTTAAGAGAAGGTGGGGTGCTACGGGGAAGCTGAAGACACGAAAGCTGACAAAGCCCACCGAGGCTGTCGTATGGAGGGCTGACTGGAGGAAGGAGGCAGGGGTAGAGAGTGTTGGAAAGAGACCTAAACAGTTTCTCCAGTTGTCTTTTTGGAGACTTCAGCAACTGGGTCAGGTGAAACAGGGAAGATGAAGATTACCAGTTGGATGGCGGATATGTGTGAGGGCTAAGACTTGAGAGTGTTCACCATGAGAAGCAAGGCAAAAGGAGGGGCTGAGGCTGACCTCAGCTGTGGAAGCTCGGGTTGTGTCCTTGGCTTGAGAAGGGGACTTTAGAGAAGCAGGTGAGGGAGACGGTGGAGAGTGTGGCTGTGGACATGTTAGAGTATCCAGGTGGAGGAAGCAGGGCCCAATGCCTTGCCCACAGCTATAAATCAGTAAATAATCTTATGTCTTGTGACTAAAGTCATGAATGTAGATGAGGTCCCAAAGGGAGGACCAGAGTGAGAAGTCTCAGTGCTGAGCCCCAGGGAACAGTCACATCTCATGGTTGTGTGGAGGACAATGAGTCACAAAGAGGGCTGAAAAGCTGTGGGTGCATATTGTCACTGGGGGGAAGGAGAGGGTCTTGGAAACCCAAGGAAGCATGAGTTTCAGGAGAGGCTGAGGTCAAGGGAGGGCAACACCATTGAGAAGTCCTAGGTGAGAGAAGCCCGTGAACACCCTCACCTCTCTGGAGCTCTCACCAACTCCACCTCCTTGAGTCTCTTCAGTAGTTCTCTAACTGCAGATAAAGAGTTATCCATTTGCGGAGGAGTAAAGAGCTGCCTAGAGTGGTAGACAGTATGCCCAGCTCACGTAGCCAGCAGAAGGCAGCACCTGGTCGACCCACACATTTGCACCCTTTGCATTTTCCCAACTTCCACCTGTCCTTCCCTGGGGTCCAATAGACACACTTAAGCTGCAAGTGTGCCCTGCACACCACTTCTTGTTCATAACAAGCACCATCAATATCTATATCTCAGCATGGAGGGTTTCCTGCAGGGCTAAAATTTGCTAGAGGAGGGTTAGCTGAGTTGAGGTACTATCATGACTTCTCTTCTGAGTGGCAGTGTAGTGTAGTTTCAAGAACATGAACATAAGCCTGGATTTCCACCCACCCATCATCCTTCCACCCATCCATCATCTATCATCCATCACTACCCACAATCCACCCATCATCCACCCATTGTCCGTCCGTCCGTCCGTCCGTCCATCCATCTGCCCATCCACCCATCATCCATCCATCACCCATCCATCCATCATCCACCCATCGCCCATCCATCCACCCATCCATCCATCATCCACCCATCGTCCATCCATCCACCCATCATCCATCACTACCCATAATCCACCCATCATCCACCCATCATCCGTCCATCCATCCATCCATCCATCCATCCATCCATCCATCCACCCATCCATCCATCCATCCATCCATCCATCCATCCATCCACCCATCACCCATCCATCCACCCATCCATCCACTTTTCCACACATCTACCCCCTCACCAAGTGCTTTCTGAGTACCTCTATCCCAGGCACGTTTTCTAGCTGAGTAGCCTGAGGTACATTCCATACTTCTCTGACCCTCAGTTTCTACCTCTGTAATGTCTGGGCAGTGATGCGCACCCTAAGAACACATATATAAACTATAAGGGCCCATGTAGGTAAAGTACCTAGCACCTAGTTAGGTGTTCGTGGAGGGCATTTTCTCTCCTCTTCCTTCTCTCCCATCCCCTTGTCTCATTTTCTGATCATAATGAGATCCCACAAGGGAGTGAGACAGGGCTTTAGAGCAACATCCTTTGCCCTGCTCAGCAGATGTTTATGTTTTCTACAAAGCACATCTGTGCATGCACGTGTACACATCTGTCCGGCTGTCTGCTCACCACTCCTAGGTCCAGCACCAATGTGAGCTTTGAACCCAAAAAAATTCAGCCTAAAGGAGCAAAGCACCTGTCTGGAATCCGCTCACAGGGAAGCTGATCTGTGTGTTCTGTGAACCCCCAGGCTCAGGCTGAAGTTTGTCCTTAGTGGTTTGGGGGCTTGGCCCACAAGGCTCCAAGTGATAGGGCTGGGATCATGGTGTTCTGGGCAGGATCTAGACAGCTGCACAGGGCAATGCCCTCATTCCTTGCTGCGATGGTATCCTTTCTGTCTTCTCAGACAGTGGCTCTCCCAACTGCTCCTCTGAGGGGCCTTCTGGGTGTTGCTGGAGAAAACGAAGCCCCCACAGGCTCTTGCAGCAGGTTAGGAGGTTATTGGAGCATGTGGTGCAGGACAGCGTGAGTTTCCTGCAGAGACACAAGTGCAGGTTAGAGCTGGGGTGGTGTCATGGCTAATCTTGCTGTTGACTTGACAAACATGGGCAGGGGAAACCCCAGGTGAGGAAACGCCTCTGTGAGCATATCTGTGGGGATTTGTCTTGATTGCTAATTGCTGTAAGAGGATACAGCCCACTATGGATGATACCATCCCTAGGCAGGAAGGCATGGGTTTTGTTAGAAAGCTAGCTGAACAAGCCAGAACGAGCAAGCTAGTTAGAGCTATCCTCTGTTGGTTGCTGCCTTGGCTTCCCACCATGATAGATTGTAACCTGTAAGCTAAAATAAACCTGTTTCTCCCCAAGTTGCTTTTGGTTATAGGGGTCTGCAACAGAAAGCAGACTAGAGCAGGTGGACAATGAGACAAGCCCACGGGGCCAGGGGATGAGTCTCTCTGTTGTGCTTCCACTAACTCTGGACCTGGAATAGCAGTG